TGCACTTCCGGAAGATATTGTTCTCTCGCAGAACAAAACTATCTTCAAGAAAAAGCTAGACCTCTACCTGGGTCTCTCCCAATAATTCCCTTTGTCAAAAAAAAAAAACAAAATAGTTGTCTTTTATCGCATATATGTTCATGAATGCCGCACCCCCACTCAGCTTAAGGCACCGTCCACAGTGTGACACTGCCTGGTGGTCTAGCCCCAAGAGGTATCCTCGCTCGACCAGCCAGGGCGCTGGTGAGAAATCTAAAAGTTCAGCGCAATGACGTACTCGGCTCTCAGGCCCCGACCCCGGCAATAGTAAAGAAGCCACGTGCGGGGTCGCTAATAGTTGTAATTGAAGATGCGCTGGAAGACGAAAATTGGCAGTGCTGCCCGAAGATAGATGACAGCGTGATCCCTGCCAGGCTGGATGTTGTGGACACTCCTATAGAGATGGATTGGGAGTCGTCAGAAATTCTGGACCATCAGCCGGCTTCATGCACCCCAGTGGGGACATCGGAAGCAAAAAACGTGCCATCATCTCAGGCGTCGCGCCTGAGAAACAGTCAGGAATGAATGAAAAAAGACACCTAGGCGACGGAGAAAACGCGGTGGTGTTATATACTAACGCGTGTAGTATTAGAAACAAATGGGCGGAACTAGCCAAAACCGCTGACGAACAGAAAGCATCAATAGTTGCCGTCACGGAAACGTGGCTTTCTGAAGAAGACCATGTGCCAGGCCTAATAAGTAACAGCTTTGCAGCCTACAGGCAGGATCGGGATAAGATTGCCTTGGTGGTGGAGTAGCCATCCTCGTTAGGTCAGGTGCAAACCACCTTGAGTCCCAGACCAAGATGTGCACTCGCAATATCCAGCTATGCGCTGTTACGATCATCCTTCCAGGCAGAAGGGTTAACGTCGTCTGTGTCTACAGGGCACCAAGCACAAACCACGAAGAGGACGTTTGTTTGCTGCGGACTTTGACTGAACTAGTTAAGGACGCACAAAAGACCCTCATAGTGGGTGACTTCAATCTTCCGCACATCGACTGGGTGGCTGAGGTCTGCGTGCCGGGATCGGAGGCGCAAACCTACTTAGAATGGCTGCATGACAATGCGTTGCATCAGCATATGAGGGAGATTACCAGATATAGGACTGGATGCGTTCCATCCCTGCTGGATCTAGCTATTACGAACTTCCCCAACGATGTGGCTGGACTGCATTATTGTGCACCGCTGGGAAAGAGTGACCACGTGTGTGTCAAAATAGTTCTATGCATGCGGCAACCGAAGGTACCTTCAAGGCTGATTAGGAATTTTGGTAGTATGGACATGGATAGGCTTCGTGATAGGGCGATGGTTTTGACCTGGGACACTACAGAGGAGGCTACTGTGGAGGAGCGCTGGCAGGCCATAAAGGGATCCCTGACTGCCCTACAGGAAGAGTTCGCACCCGTAAAACGAAGGAGTGGAGAGGGCAAACCAATGTGACGGAAGGCTGCAATAGCCAAGGCCATCAGACGTAGAAACCGCAGCTGGAACCAGTACAAAGCTTCCGGCAGCCAGCTAGCCTGGAATCGCTATACGAAGCTGAGAAACGAGACTGTAAGCCTTTTGAGAACTTCTAAACGGGAATTTGAGCTGAAATTGGCCCAGTCTGTAAGACAACAGCCGAAGAAGTTCTACAGCTATGTACAGTCTAAAGGCTCAACAAGAAAGGCCGTAGGTCCGCTATCCACTAGAGACTATGGTATTGTCACTGACGACCAGGGCAAAGCAGACGCCCTGGGGGAATACTTTGGTAGTGTACATAGGATAGATAGTGGGGTACTAGTAGATCTGGCGCTGATACATCCTCCTCAGTTAAACGAGCTAGATCTCTCAGAGGAATGCGTGCGTAGGTACCTACAGGAGTTAAACAGCCACAAGTCAGCGGGCCCAGATGGCATTCATCCAGCTATCATCAAGCCGTTGGCGGATATCATAGCTCCATCGGTATGCAGATTGTATAGATCCACGTTGGACCAGGGAAAGCTGCCTCAGGACTGGAAAGTCGCGGCAGTCGTGGCAATACATAAGAGTGGGCCTAAGTCGGATGTGCAGAACTACAGGCCGGTAAGCCTAACTAGCATTCTCTGTAAAGTTCTCGAGAAGATCATCCGTGCTCATATCTGCCAGCACTTACTGCAGCACTCCATGCTAAGCCCGGCGCAACACGGATTCCTGAAAAATAGATCTTGCCTGACCAATCTTCTGTGCTTCTTAGATGAAGTAACTCGACGACTGGACGAAGGTAAGCAAGTTGAGGTATGCTACCTCGACTTTAGCAAGGCCTTCGACTCCGTTAATCATCGTCTTTTGCTATGCAAGATGGAGACTTTCGGGATAGGTGGGCCAGTATATAGGTGGCTGGAGGACTTCCTCTCCCACAGGACGTTTTACGTCAAAGTGGGGGACAGGTGCTCCAGTTTGGTGAACGTCACCAGTGGTGTACCTCAGGGATCCGTCCTAGGCCCGGTCCTATTCTTGTTATTTATTAATGACCTAGCATCCACTCTTCAATCGCCCAGCTTTATTTTTGCGGATGATGTGAAGATTGTTGGATCTAAGGGTAGGGCGGACTTGGGCAGGGAAATAGGCACCGTCCTGAACTGGGCATACAAATGGGACTTACCTCTAAACGCTCAAAAAAGCCATTTGTTGTCAAGGGCAACAGAGAGCCTAACTGTCGCTCATGATCAAGGGCTGTTCATCGTAGGGGCAGCCAGTAGGGTTAAAGACCTGGGGATCATCATGAAAAGTGACTTCAAATGGTCGGAGCAGTGCAACGCGGCTGCGCATAAGGCTCGTGGGGAGCTCTTTAGACTGCGATCGGCTTTGTCTTGCCGGAAGCCGGAGGTATTCGTACCTATTTACATGGCTATAGTACAACCTCACTTAGAAGGTAGTGTGCAGGCTTGGTCACCCTTCTACAAAAAGGACGCCGCCTGCCTAGAGAAAGTCCAACGTCTCGCCACGCGGATGGTTGAAGGGCAGAGGGGTAAGACTTACGAGCAGGAACTCTGTGACCTGAATCTCTTCTCGTTGGAAAGGAGGAGAAGTCGAGGAGATCTCATAGAAACGTTCAAGGTAATGAAGGGCTTTTCTGGCCTCAGACCAGATAGTCTATTCCAATTGGCCGTAGACTCCAGAACAAGGGGACACGAAAAGAAGTTGATAAAAGCCCGATCTAGGTTGATGGCTAGATCGCACTTCTTCAGCAACAGGGTTGTGAACAGTTGGAACGGTCTGCCTGGTGAAATGGTAGATCTGCAGACAGTCCAATCCTTCAAATGTGCCCTTGATCGCAAGTGGTACGAGATCTTTCCTTGTAGTGAGCCTTAAGAATATCAACTAGATGGATGACGGGTATCACTGTGGTCCTTCTGGAGTATGTTTTAGCAGACTTTTTCCCTCATTGCATACTGTCTCAGTGAACGCTCACGATGCATAATGTCTCTCGCGGTTGATGTGCGATGAGGTTTTCCGTTTCCCTCTCATTTTTAGCGGGGATTCGACGAAATATACTCGGCAGTGGTGGGTGCATAACAGGTGTGCATACCATCGAAGGAATTCTGGACGCTCGATTGGCCGTGGCCATTACCTGTCCTGTGCAAACTGAACTGAACTGAACTGAACTGCATGAGGTTATGTGTATCTTGTTTTCGCTGCCACCCATGCCCCTCCCTCCCGCTTCTTTTTACTCTCGTTTCAGCTCGGTGAATCCGACAGAAGATCAAAGATTTCCTCAAGAACCGGGACAATTGGGCTCAAAGACTCGAACCCGTGTAGTACTCCAAGACTTCAGGGCTCGGTGCTCGGCCCTCTGCTCTTCCTCATCTTCATCAACGACCTAGCACGTGGGCTTACAAACCCCACCTTTATGTTTGCCGATGACGTCAAGATAGCTGGAGTAGATATAGAACTTGACGTGTTAGCAGTACAAAACTGGGCACGCAAATGGGACCTTCCACTAAACCTCACCAAGTGTCAATGCTTGACCACAAATACAGGGGCTAGTGAGAATAGTGTGGGTTCGTTGCAAGTGGTCTCGCAGGTCAAAGACTTGGGCGTTATAATGGACAACAGCTTTAAGCCGTCAAAGCAGTGCACCTCAGCAGCCAATACGGCCAGGAGGGAACTCTTTCGAGTTAGATCCATTATGTCGTGTAGAGATCCGGAGATATTCGTTCCGATATATCAGGCCATAGTTAGGCCGCATATGGAGTACTGCGTGCAGGCCTGGACACCGTACTACCAGAAAGATATCGACTGTCTGGAGAAAGTGCAAGGGCTAGCCACTAGAATGGTGGCTGGGCAAAGGGGGTTTAACTACACAGAGCGTCTCCGTGCCCTAGACCTATTCTCGATGGAAAGACGGCGCATTCGCGGGGATTTGATAGAAACCTTCAAGGTAATGAAAGGACTGTCAGGAATAAGTCGAGAAGACCTTTTTTCGCTGATCCCCGAGAGAGGCACAAGGGGGCATAGCCTTAGATTACAAAGGAAACATTCGAGGCTCCAAATTAGGGCGAAGTACTTCTCAAATAGAGTGGTACCCTATTGGAATAAGCTCCCGGAAGAGGTCATAAATACCACAACAGTGAAGGCCTTTAAGAAAGCACTAGACCTATGTTGGGTGGCAGTATACCCCGAGTTATGCTAAGCAGCTTTTAGGGTCAGATGCAATTTACTTATTGTTCCCACCTTACTCTGCCAGGGCTGATACTGCACAAAATTTCTGCCTTTCAGAAAAAGAAAATCACGCAGTGTTGGGAGCTACGGAAACGCGCCGACAACACAACTATCTGGACACACGATTGGCTCTAGCCACACCAAGTCCTGTGCAAACTGAACTGAACTGAACTGAACTGAACTGAACTGAACTGAACGATGGCCAAGGCCGAAGAACACCCTACGGACGTAATCTTCGTGGATTTTTGCGACGGCAAAGCTTTTGACAAAGTCCCGCATGACCGTCTATTGGGTAAGCTTAAGGCTCTTGGCTTTGTAGATCCCTTGGTTCTGTGGATCGAGGACTTTCTTCAAGGTAGAACCTGAGGCAGCTTACCCTGATCCAACGTGGATCTGTGCAGTCTGAATACCGATGGAGCTATGATATCCGCCAACGGCTTGATGATAGCTGGATGAATGCCATCTGGGCCCGCTGACTTGTGGCTGTTTAACTCCTGTAGGTGCCGTGAGCCTTTTTGCATATGGCTTGTACCTCAACCCACCTACCATTCTCGTGAAATGACGCTTGACTTTCCCCAATACTGCAGCGTCTCGCACCGGAGTAGGAGCCCCATAGTCGACTATTGTTCTGTAGTGTGGTAGTAGTACATGAGCCTCTCGTGATGCAGATGTGTGCAGTGGTTGGTACAGCGCTCGTTTTGCTTTGAAAGCAGCGGCTGAGCCCTGCTCAGATGGCTGGAAGCAGTCAGCTATCCGAACTCCAAGGTCCGTGATGTGTGGTCCGTGTTAACATTTGTGGGTCACTCGAGCCTATTTTAACTCTCTCCGGTGTCTTGAGTCAGATGTATTCACTTCCCTGCAATGAGTGTCAACTGCCACTGGGTGGTCCAAGCGTGAACCCTATCTAACTCCTCTTGAGAGTATGAGGTGCCTGTTTCGCCTAGCAGTTTCAGGTCGTCTGCAAAGAGGGTTTTGCACAACATTCATTAGGTCTTTCATGTAAATTACTAATAAAAGCGGACCCAGCACTGGTCCCTGTGGGACCTCACTGATGGTCCTTACTCTTGTGGATCTGCTGTCCTCTACCCTTGTAATATGTCCACTTCAAGACTTGATATGCGTTCCCGAGGGCCTCTGTTTTGTATAGCAGCGGTCGGTAGTTCACAGAGTCGAAGGCCTTTTGGAAGTTCAAGTAGCAGACCTCGACTCTATCTTCTCTATAAATTCCGGCCGTTACTCCATTTCGGAATGAAAGCAAGTTGGATAGACAGGATCTGTTTTTCACAAATCCATGTTATCTATTGAAGATGATCCTATAGTCAGCTACGTGACTAGTCACTTGATCCCTGATCAGCCCTTCCACTATTTTTAGGAGCACGGGTAGTAAGCTCACCGGCCGGTTATTTTACACCTTTTCCTTCTTACCATATTTGTGTTTAGGAACGACTTCGGCTGTCAGCCAGTCTCCCGGCAGTTGTGCATCCAACGGCAACCTAGTGTATGGATGGGCCAAGGGTGCCGCTGAGGTGTGGGTTAGGGGGCGTAGAATCGCTGCGTGGGTGTCATCTCGCTCGGCTGCCTTGTGCAGGTTCAGTTCTCTAAGAGCTTTTTCGACATCACCAGGAGATTGAAACTGGCTGGATCGGCAGAGGTCGGATGTGAGGTTCGAAAGCAGGGTCCATGGTCATTTTGATGTGCCAACTTAAAGTGCTCCCCCAGCGTTCCAGCTTTAGTCCTATTATCTAAGGCATGACTGCGGTCTCTATCCTTGACGCAACATACAGCTATATGCAGGGCTGTTTTGACTGAACGTACTTGTAATAGGCTTTTGAGCATTGTTTGGCCTTCCTAGCCAGTGTGGCCTCGTACGACAGTCTGCACTGCCTTTGGACCGTAATGGCTGATTCTAGCGCTCTTTTGTATCAGGGGTGCCGCCTGTAGCCTCTTGTCTGTTGGTAATAAATCCATGCACTGTGCTTTCAGCTTTGTGCCCTGGTGGCTCTGCGGGTCCACCGCGATAATAAGGCCTTATACATCAAGGTTCTTAAAGCACCTTCGCATTTTGAGGTACTATATCCTTAACAATCAAGTGCTTACAGCGGATCACCCCATGGTCACTTCTACCCAGGGACCCCGAGACCTGTGGCTCTTCGATGGCACTGGAATGCTTTGTTATGACCAGGTCTAGTAACCCCGGGGTCTGTCCTTCTCTCATTGTAGTCGGTTGGTTGGACAAGGTTTTACTACAAAACTGAATCAAGTAAATGTACAGGGAATCCATCTCAGGGAGCCTACAGATTCACCCGGTCGGTGTCAAGGGAATTGAATTCCCTAACGGTTGATTTCATTCGCGCCGACTACGGAACCGTGAAGGTAGGTCAGCAGTACGTGGTCCTCCGGGGAGGTAGAAAATGGGCTTCGGTAAACGCGTGTCACTCGGATTTCGGCTTGGCCTAGTTTTAAATCACAACAGATAGCTTTTACGTTTGGTGTTGACACGGTCTCTCCAGCTATCTGCTTGATTTCGTCCAAGATTAGGAGCATTACGCCACCTCTATCCCCGCTATACACTCTATCAGCCCGATGCATGCAGTAACCGGCAGGAGAAAGTATACCGATGTCGTGACTCTCCTTCAGCCATGTTTTGGTGACAGCGATGAAGTCCGATTTGGCGGTCACTGCTGCCAGTTCATGACATTTCTTTCCAGTGTTGCATGCATTACTGTAGACCACGGCAAGGCTACCTGCCCTTCGTTGTGCATTACGCTTCAGCTGGTGGGTATGGCACTCGTAAACTAGTTCCCAGTGCTTGAAATGTATTTTTGTGGCGAGTTGGGAGACTGACTAGTGTTCTTCATCCAGCTACTTCTCACTGGTATTTTTCAAAGATTTAGAGGGATGGACGTGTTATACGCTTTAGGTGAGTTGAAACGATTTTCAACGCTGATATGTGGTTGGCAATGTTTTGTAGATTTAACAGATTTCCTAATATCTCGCGTGCGCCAACCGGACAAATTATTCGACTCTACTGTGAACGTTCCCTGCGTTCCGGCCTTCACCAGCTCCGCCGAGGCTAAATGGACCCTCTCCCTGGAGTTAGCAAACTCCATGAGCACGCGCCCGGGGGGTCGCCGCTCATCCTGTATGTTTCCACCGCTCTAGTCTGGAAACTCTCGTTGTTACGGTTTTGCCGGAGGGTTACTATGTGGTGCCTGATATATTTTCCTGTTGTCTGGCGGCTGGGCAGACGGGTTTAGGTATCCCTTTACCCACTACGTTGCGACTTCGACCTAGGGCTAACTCCGCGTTTTTCATTAGTGTGCTCGAAATAGCAGCTAAAACATCCAGCCTAGTTCATTCGGTCCCCAAGCCCACTTCTTGTTTTGCGACCTTTTGCTGAATCTGCGTCATGTCATGCCCAGTTTCTTAGGATCACAACTGTCGTGGTTTTCTAGAGTTGGACCCTTTCTGGGTTCTCTGAATTGCGGTATTCATCTCTGGGAAGCCGATGCGGTTACTCATCCCTACTTTATCAGAACTCTTACAAGCTGGTCGCTTGGATATACATAGGGTGTTGCACTTCGCTTCGTGACTTTCAAAACAATTTCCGAATAAATCGAAAAGTAATATATTTTGGAATAAATAATACCACTGTTATGGTCAACGCCTCAATACTGGGGAACTGTGGTGTCTCCTAAACACTTCCGGCACACCCATTTCAGACACTTGTGTTTATCGTAGAGATCAAAAGCCTACGGAGACAGTCAGCTGCGTCGCTGGTGGTGCCAGTTAAGGCATATATCACATTGGATACCTGCATCTACTACTTGGGAGTATCTCAGGTCCCCGGACTGAGATGTGCCATCCACGTTTTTGCTGGCACTCGTGTTATGGCATTTAAGTCGTTGGCTCGCTTTAGCAACGAGTTGTGGGGCTTGACCAAAAAGTGGTAAACTCAGAGATTGAGACTAAGGAATGACCAAATAAAAGCACTTCGGATACGGTAACCCAAATGGAAGGAGTGTCATCAGGAGATATGAGAGACTCATCAGCCGTTTGCTTGTCACACACTTCAGTTCAGTTCAAACAACCAATAACCATGCACTGGGTGCTGTGGATTTATCTGCCATCTCCTAGCGGCAACCTCGAAAGGAAATAATGAAGGAGAAAATGGTATGAAAGGAGTAAAAGGAGAACTACATTAATGGGATTAGATCGATGATGAAAGTTTGTGAATGCAAGAACGCCACTGATCGCGGCATCTAGCCATATCATCCAACGTATGTAACCATTAAGTGGGAGGGTCTCTAAGACCCCACCCAGGAAGTCTAACACGCCATACATGACCAAGTCCACTAGTTAGGCTCTTCTTGCCTTTCTTCCACGTCATGGACTGACCACCCTTACTCATCTTCCAAACTAATACCCTCCTCAGAAAACATAGCACACCGAGGGATTCTGTCAGGGGACATGCGTAACACATGTCCCGACCATCTTAGCCTGGTCAGCTTAAGTGTTTCTTTCAGTGATTTGATCCTAGAACCTAAGACTTTCCACCTAACCTCAGCATTGCTCACACAGTGTTCCTACCAGATTCGAGTAATACTGCGAAGACGTCGGTGTTCAAATACCGACAGTCTTCGTATGTCCGCCACCATAAGTGGCCATGTCTTCAAACCATACAGAAGCACGGGCCTGAGTGCTGCAACGAACAGTCGCCTCTTGCTAGACAAACGGATATCATGTCGACGCTGCAAATGACTCAGGTTGGCAAATGCCAGACGAGTCTTCTGTATACTCAGAGACACTTCATTTGATATCCGACCTCCTGGTGAAATGCAGCTTCCCAGGTAACAGAACTTGTCTACCACGTTTATAGTCACCCCAGACACTGAAAGGTTTGGCGTTGGACCAACCCAGTCCTGCAACAGAATCTTGCATACCGAAAATTGCTACACAATCCGTCAAGCTGTCTGGAAAAACTTGCAACTTATCTGGATCTTCACTTAAAAGAACTATGTCGTCCGCACACTCAAAGTCTAATACCTTCCCACCCGGGAAAAGTTCTATGCCGCTAAGAAAAGGAGAAAGGGGGCAACCCTGACGTACACCACTTCTCGGGTGAAAGATCATCATGAGCCCGAACTCGGCTTTCGCTGTTCATGTACAGGCATTTTACAATGGAAATGAATTTTTCTGGTACACCCTTCAGCGAGACGTAACGCCAGAGAACTGTGCCGTCGATTGAGTCGGAGGCTGCTTTCAGATCAATAGAAACGGAGGTAGTGGTCC